GCATGCAAGGCAAGCGCTCTACCACTGAGCCACCTTCCCAGCCCCTAGAGCAGTATTCTTAACTGAACTAAATATATTAATTCATCTCTAGAATCATCCAATAAAATAATGACCTGTCCTAATGTGGACTACAAGTACAATTTAGATGGATCTTTATAGAAATTAGGACTAACCATCATGAAGTCTTGATCCAAAGTACAATATTATACATTAGAAGAAACTATGCATATCCTCCTTTGTATGAAAACTTACCACCATAGTGCGGCCAATGATGGAACACTCTCCTGTGAGTGAGATCATTGAGTCTTTGATGGACACTTTGGCTGTACCGTCTTTGTCAGCAGTCACATTGCCCAGATCTCCAACATGTCTAACATTGAAAAAGCATCAGATCAATTAGCACTAGTGTCTACGTCACACCAAAGACAGTTCATGTGCTAACTAAAATTTAACAAGACTCCATAAGAGTGGCCTAAGAGGGGCTGGGAAGGTGGCTCAGTGGTAGAGCGCTTGCCTTGTGTGCATGAGACCCTGGGTTCGATTCCTCAGCACCACCTAAGCAGAAAAAGCTGGAAGTGGCGCTGTGGCTCAAGTGGTAGAGCGCTAGCCTTGAGCTGAAGAGCTGAGGGACAGCGCCCAGGCCCAGAGTTCAGGCCACAGGACCGACAAAAAAAGGAGTGGGCTAAGAGGAAAATATATTCAGAAAGATCACTTTGCCAAACTGACATTTTGGGAACACAAATTTAAAAATAGCTATTCAACTAGGTAATAGAAATCTACAAAAATAATGCTCTGCACACTTAAATTTCAGATGTAAGTACCAAAGGGAAACTCAGCTACTGAGTTATGATGTTAGTTCCGGAGAGAGTGAAGCTAAGACTGTGTTACAAATTAATCTTATTTTTAATATTTTCCTGAAAGGCCTTCAGAAAAGATACACAAGCAAATGGGAGTCTCAACTGCTTTTCATTATCTATTGAAGTTTCCTATGCTTCTCAAATGATTTTTTTGCTTGTGGTTATGGTATTCATGGCATTTTCTGTATTCTATATTACTTTACCCATAGAGAGCCATTCCACTGATTTGGGCATGGGGGAATGGTATGGGAGACAACAAATGTAAAAACCAACATAGGGAGCCTACCTCTATTTTCTCTTGTTTCTGCAAGCACTACAAGCCCACCCAGCCACCAGCCTCCTTATATAAGAGCCAAGCATCTTGTTACCTTTCTTGATCTTCTGGCCCACCATGATTTTTGGATAGAGGATTAAAGTGAGGACCTGCACTGGTACAACCTATTTACAAGAAATAAAAATAAGCAGTTAAGAGCCAGGCACTGATGACTCAAGCAAGTAATCAGGAGGCTGAAATCTGAGGATCACAGTTCAAGGTCAGCCCAGGGAGGAAAGTCTGTGAGACTCTTGACTTCAATTAACCACCAGAAAACTGGAAGTGAAGCGGTGGCTTAAGTGGTATAGCACTAGCCTTTAGCAAAAAGGCTCAGGGACAGGTCACAAGCCCAGACCTATGACCAACGTTCTCACCCCCCCCCCAAAAAAAGCTAAATTAGGAACCCAAATTCCAGAATCAAGAATGGTTATGCCTTATTCCTTTTTTGTGTGTTTTGAAACAGTCTTGCTATGTAACCAAACTGGCCTCTCGCTCATAATCGTCCTGCCTCGGCATCCCCAGTGCTAGGATTATAGCATGAGCTCTCACCTCTTCATGCTAAATTAAGGAAGTGAGGCTTGATCTTCAACACTGTACTGTAGTTTTAAAAAAGAAAATCACATGATTATGATCCCTAATTTTAAGAAAGATTTTCAAGAAATGATTACAAGCCGGGCGTTGGTGGCTCATGCCTGTAATCCTAGCTACACAGGAGGCTGAGATCTAAGGATCACAGTTCAAAGCCGGCTGAGGCAGGAAAATTCGTGAGACTCTTATGTCCAATTAACAAACAGAAAACCAGAAGTGACACTGTGGCTCAAGTGGTAGAGCAGTGGTAGAGTGTTCGCCTTGCGCTGAAGAGCTCAGGGACAGTGCCCAGGCCCAGAGTTCAAGCCCCATGACCTACCAAAAAAAAAAGCTATCTCACCCACGCTTGATGTCTGAAACGTGTAATCCTTGCTACTTGGGACAAGGAGATTGGAGGATCATGGTTGAAGGCCAGCCCAGATGTTTTTAAAAACAATATGTTTGGGGCTGGGAAGGTGGCTCAGTGGTAGAGTGCTTGCCTTGCATGCAAGAGGCCCTCGGTTCAATTCCTCAGCACCACATCAGCAGAAAAAGCCAGAAAGTGGGCTGAGACTCAAGTGGTAGAGTGCTGGTCTACAGCTGAAGAGCTGGGCACAGCGCCCAGGCCCAGAGTTCAGGCCCCACGACCGACAAAAAAAAAAAAATGTTCATAATACGCCATTCTAAACCAATGGTTGAGCCTATTGATACTCACCATTGTGTCAGCTACAGGGAAGGAGCACAGTGGCACACACCTGTCTCCCCAGCTATACAAGAAAGCACAAAAGACCCTAACTCAAAAATAATGCAAAAAAGGACTAATGGTGTGGCTCAAGTGGAAGGTAGAGTGCCTGACTAGTAGTGAGAAACCCTAAATTCAAACATGAACACAGTCCTTGCACACACACACCCCAAAAAAAGCTATCTCCCAGTACCATTCCACCAAGCAGCCCTCCTGTCTATGGCCTTTGCTTGTGTAGAGGTAGAACCAAGGTTCATGTTCTAGGGCCAAGGTTTCTGCCTTGCAAAACCCTAGAGAAGAGGCAGGTTTGCCACCTGCATCCCAGATAGCAGAAATGCAGGAAATCTTTCATGACAGTGGTTTCTTGATTCTTCTACCCAGACAAGGAAATAAGAAAATAAGGCAGGTTTCAGGAAGTAGCTTAAACAAATCAAAGCTACAAAACATTTATGCACCTTCCAAACCAGAGGCAGAGGGAACTTGTGGAATATTATTATTACTGGAATGGATCAAACTTCATAGTAACTATTTGGAACCAAATTATGGTACATTAAACACCAACTGCAATGACTCATACCTAATCCCATCATTCAAAAGACTGATTCCAGCCTGAGCTACAAATCCTGACACTGTCTTTCTCTAACACACACACACACTTCTAACAAAAAATGAAGTATAAACTTCAAATTACTACTCAAAATGACAAAATGTTACTAAAGGCAATTTAACTCATGAACTTTTGCTAACTTGCTACTAATTCCAAATTGAAAAAGGTCAAACAATATCCAAAGCACCAAGAGTCCTCAATTTGTATCAAACGTATTTTTTTCTTTGCAGTTTTCAGGGCTTTTTAATTCAAGACCTCAAGCTTGCTAGGCTGCCACTCTACCACTTCAGCCACATCTCTAGCACATTTTGCTCTGGTTATTTTGAGACAGGGTCTCCCTTTTTGCCCCGTAGTCCTGACCTTGATTCTATTTATGCTTCCCACTATAGGTAGGTTGATACATTTCACTATGTCCAGCTTCTGCTGCTGAGATGGGGGAAGTCTCAGAAAGTTTTTTGCCAGGGCTGTCTCAAAACGTGATCCTCCCAATCTCACAGCCTCCCAAGGAGGTAAAAAGCACAGGAATGAGTCACCTTTTCCTAGCCTACATCAAATTATTGTTCCACTTCAAATCTCATATTCTTATATAGTATAATGCATAGAAATCAGAGCCTGTACCTGAAGTGCCCACTCCTGACTCCAGCATGAAAACACTGGGATTACCTAAGACAAGAAGCTGCTTAGCCAGTCTCTAGTAGCTCATGCCTGTAATCCTACCTACTCAGGAGGCTGAGATCTGAGGCTCATGGTTCAAAGCCAGAGCAGGAGGAAAGTCCATGAAACTCTTATCTCAATAAATTACTCAAAAAAAAAAGCCAGGGGCTGGGAAGGTGGCTCAGTGGTAGAGTGCTTGCCTTGAATGCATGAGGCCCTGGGTTCAATTCCTCAGCACCACATAAGAAAAAAGAAAAAAGCTGGAAGTGGCGCTGTGGCTCAAGTGGTAGAGCGCTAGCCTTGAGCAAAAGAAGCTCAGGGACAGCACCCAGGCCCTGAATTCAAGCTTGGGGCCGGCACAAAAACAAAACCAGAAACTGCTTAACTTTTTGCTTTTATTTTTCTACTGCACTCTAAGAACCCTCAATCCCATTAGCACAATTAAAAATATCAATTCCTTTCCTCTTTATTCATCCCACTTAAAATAGTCAAAGACTACAGTTTTGTAGTTAATTCCCTAATGAGAATCTTAGGGGTTATTTTGACACAGGTGGGGAGGGCCTTTTAAACGGGGGTTACCCAACTCATTACCTTAATAACCACCAATGAACCGTTGTCATGAGAGTAGCGCAAAACCTACCTTGTGTATTATCTCCAAACTGATGGACATGGAATCCATGCTGGCCTTCAGTCAATCCTGTAATGGTCCCCTGTACCATAACTGGCCCATCTGCCTTTATTCAAAGAAAAGTACATTAAGTTAGAATGCAAACAAAACAGTTGAAGTATCTCTCACAGTAAAAAACAGACTTGAGTGTAGAAAAAAAATGTCTAAATTCTAGCTGCTTAATCTGAGGCCTGTGTTATGCTATCAAGAGAGAAGTGAAATTCTTGTTCTAACACCTGCTGTTCAGGGGCCATGTGGCCAAGGCTCTGAAATTCCACTGCATGGAAGAATAAAACTTAGTAGGGTAGCAAGGGTAATGAGTTCTGCCACGCACGCCATGTGCCAGCCTTGCACGCTTCTTCGTATGCTCCTTTCCAGGTCTGGCAGGGAATCTCCCATGTCCACCTCCTAAGTACCTCGGATTACAGGATGAGCCACCAGGACTAGCTCTAGGTTTGCATCTAAAATGATTATGCAACAAGTTTGATGTTTCTTGGGTAAACATTTTTGAATCGGTTGCATGTGTATATGGTGAATAGACATACTTTTTTAAGTGTAAAGCTGGATATCAAATTTAGAGCATGCATGGTACTCACTAGCCCCAAACTTTTCTTTTTTTTTTGGGGGGGGGTGGTCATGGGGCTTGAACTCAGGGTCTAGACATGTCCCTCATCTTCTCTTTTTTTTTTTTTTGTCGGTCGTGGGGCTTGAACTCTGGGCCTGGGCGCTGTCCCTCAGCTCTTCAGCTCAAGGCGAGCACTCTACCACGTGGAGCTACAGCGCCACTTCCGGTTTTCTGGTGGTTTATTGGAGATAGGAGTCTCCTCTCCTGCCCGGGCTGGCTTTGAACCGCGATCCTCAGATCTCAGCCTCCTGAGTAGCTAGGATTACAGGCGTGAGCCACCAGCACCCAGCTTCCCTCATCTTCTTTTGCTCAAGGATAGTGCTTTACCACTTGATCCACAGTGCTACTTCTGGCTTTTTCTGTTTATGTGGTATGGAGGAATCGAACCCAGGGATTCAAGCTTGCTAGGCAAACATTCTATCACTAAGCCACATTCCCAGCCCTCCAACCAAACTTTTTAACCTAAAACAATGCATGTCACAGATACTCATTAGCTCTTTGGTCTTCTTTTTGAGGACAAGCATGGTCTTGCCTTGAAAGAGAAAGAGAGCTATTCCCTGCCACCCTTGCTCTCCACGCTACCTCACTGGGTGGCTCTATTGGTCTCTCGCACAGATATTTGTATTTAGTAGCCAAAAATACCCTAACAACTGCCCATGAAGGGGCTAATTCAGGTCTAACCAGGGTACTGGGGATTTTTTACATCTCTTTTAAAGTCATTAGAATCTATCTGGATAACTTCCAACTCTAACAAAAAGAGTCTATATAAGAACATTCCAAAGCTGGGCGCTGGTGGCTCACGCCTGTAATCCTAGCTACTCAGGAGGCTGAGCTCTGAGGATTGTGGTTCAAAGCCAGTCCCGGCAGTAAAGTCCCCATGAGACTCTTATCTCCAATTAACCACTCAAAAACCAGAAGTGGCACTGTGACTCAAATGGTAGAGCACCTAGAGCCTTGAGCTACAACCATATCACACAGTAAGACATACTTTTTTGTTTTTAAATAATCATGGCCTATATGAACAAATATCAGTTCTGCATATAAATTTCATACATATTTGCATACTTGTTTATATCCGCTCATATGTCTATAAACTGCTTTCAAGTTTAAAAATTCTCCCCATTTTTTGTTAAGCCAAGTACAACCAAGCTTGCTCCAGTTAGTAACCTTCGAGGTAACTTTCCACAGAAGACACAATTGTTCAAAGGATATATCCAGAGCAACTAGCCCTTTTTTTGTTTTTTGAGAATACATATTGTGATTCTTCTAAGTAAAACCTTTAGTTTTAGGAAAACTAAATGTGACCCTAGCCCCACTCAACACAGGGGATTAAGGACATAGAGAAAGGGGCAGACTTTCTCACCTCCACTGAGGGGGCAGGGCACAGCTCAGGGCCGCTGTTCAGAGACAAGCTGCGTGCTTGCAGTCCCACGGAGCCAGCACAGGCTCATCTTCAGAGAAGCAAGTAAGTAGAGGCAAGGGAAGACCAGCTGCCTCTGCTCAGTACTGCTTGGGCTAAGAAGGCTCCGTGTGAACCCAAGTCCAGATTTTTCAAGAAAAGCAATGATTTAAAAAGATGGTGGTGAGAACCCAAAATCCTAGTGTGGGTAAGTTGGAAACTATCCCACAATTTTAATCACTGTGTAGGCTAAACCAAATAGTTTATAACCAATTTATTACATCTGCCATTGAGTAGAGCTGTACTGCTAAACTACTCAAGGATCTTAGAGACAAAAGATAATGCCAGTGAGGTTTGCACTTAGCTTAAGAACTTTCCAAACTGCTTTTGGCAGGGATATACGCTACACGTACCACACACCCCTGGTCTTGGCAATTCTTAACGGCTGGAGGGAGGCTGTCCCTCAGCGGCCACTTAAAATTCTCTGCCAATCAATTATGTTCAGGAGTAGAAAGGAGGCAAAATAAAGTGTGACATGACATACATCAAAATGTAGTCAAATGCCAAAGAACCTTTCCCTGAAAATGTGGGGACCAATTAATGTGAGCAAGTACCGTCCTCCCTCGCATAAATAGCAGACACCTACATATACTGCTCGGCTGCTTCTGTTCTCACATCTTTTGTCAACCACTTGAAGAACTCTTACCTATTCTCTAGTGATTAACAGCCAAGTTTAAAAAAAAAAAAAAAGGCCCCTCGGTGGCTAGTAACCATGCTGAGGTACTGGAGACAGGAAAGCACAAATACCCTCTTTGCAACACCCATTTTGTACTTATTACTGACAATGCGTATTGCTGAAAACTTGGTCAAAGTTGTTCAGAACCTTGTCTCTGCAGTAGACTAACACCTGCTGTAGGTCCTGGATGCAATCCCCAGCACCAAAACTACATGCCTCTGACTGGCTCAGCAAACTGACTGCTGCTGTTCCAATTTTTTGCAAAGAAATGGTTTGGAAGAATTCTCCAAGAAAAGTCATTTAAAGCTGGGTGCCAGTGGCTCACGCCTGTAATTCTAACTACTCAGGAGGCTGAGATCTGAGGATCATGGTTCAAAGCCAGCCCGGCAGGAAAGTCGGTGAGACTCTTATCTCCAATAAACCACTAGAAAACCGGAAGTGATGTTGTGGCTCAAGTGGTAGACCACTAGCCTTGAACTGAAGAGCTGAGGGACAGTGCCCAGGCCCAGAGTTCAAATCCCATAACCGACCAAAAAAAAAAAAAAAAGAAAAAAAAAGTCATTTAGCCAGGACAGGTGGCTCATGACTAAAATCCCAGCTACCCAGCAGGCGAGATATGAGATAGCAAAGTCCATGAGACTCATCTCCAACCACCAAAAAGCTGGAAGTGGAGGTGTGGCTCAAGTAGTAGAGCACTAGTCTTGGGTGTAAAAGCTAGGGGACAGCACCAGGCCCCCGAGCTCAAGTCCCAGGACCAAAACACACACACACACACACACACACACACACACACACACACAGAAGTGCCAATTCAATGTAATAGAAACTCTACTATCCCAAAGACTTTTTTTTTTGGGGGGGGGGTCCGGTCGTGGGGCCTGAACTCTGTGCCTGGGCACTGTCCCTCAGCTCTTCAGCTCAAGGCTAGCGCTCTACCACTTGAGCCACAGCGCCACTTCCGGCTTTTTTCTTATGTGGTGCTGAGGAATCGAACCCAGGGCCTCATGCATGCAAGGCAAGCGCTCTACCACTGAGCCACCTTCCTAGCCCTACCCCAAAGACTTTTGAAGCCTAGATGCACATTAAAATCACTTTGGAAACTTAAAACCGCAACAACAAAAAGAAAAAAAATCAAAAACAATACACCAATCCTGAGCCTGAGGCTGGTGGGATTTTTAATGTCCTTGATGTGCTGCTGGGCTCTTGGTATAAAGCTCCCCTGGCGCGTTTACGGTGAGCCCAGGGTGACGAGCTCGCTCTGCCCACAGCGGCAGCCTGGCGCTTGGAGCCGGGGAGGAGGGAACGGACCACGGTCCAAGGCCATCTCCTCTGCCTGACCGTGACCTCCAACATCAGGGCCTCGGCCTCGCATTTTCCTGCCAAGTATCGCAGATCCGAGCTCGCCGCTCGTGGCCTCGATTCCCCAAACCACTCTCACCTACAAAAGAAAACCCCACGCCACGCGGGAGATGCCGGGCCCGGCCGCCGGGGGATAACGGACGCCGCGGGAACAGGGGCGGGCCCTGCGGCCGCGCCCCAACCCCGGCCTGCGTCATCCGGGATCCGGGGAGAAAACGACCCCGAGAGGAAGAACCGCCGCCGCCGTCCCGAAAGCGCCGAACGCCCCCCGTCCCCTCGCGGCCCCG